AAAAAAAAGACAGTTGAAACAGTCCTGATGGTTTAGTGTGATTTTGTTTTAAAGGAGAAGATACACAAGTGCTAGAGAAGTCCCCATTCTGAGACTGTCATATGGTATCCTTGTTAGATGAAAATAATATAAAAACCAGGTGACTAATTGTGGAATTAGGAGGTATGTGACTTCAGATCCCTCTTTCACATCTTATTCAACGTGGATAATCAATATCCAGAAATACCTCTTATTTCTCCCCAAGGAGTCTTGGAAATTATCTGAATGGAAAGGAAAGAGGTTTAACCACATTGCATTTGTACCCCATCTTTAATAACTATATTCCAACCAGTAAAATATCCATTTCAAGTACAAGATTGACCAACAGATTTCAAGAGAAAAATATGAGAGAACAAAATGTTCACTGATATGCTTTCAGATTCCACACTGCAACTAACCTTCAAGAAATTACCATTTGTTGAATTTTGGTGCAGTATCAAATAAGAATACCCATGATTACCTGAAATGGCTATTCAAATGCCCTTCCATTTTCCTACTACATATCTCTGGGAGGCTGGATTTTCTTCATATATTTCAACCAAAAAAATTAATTTGCAACAGACTGAACGCAGAAGAGCTAGTAAGATCCAGGTGGCCTCGGAAGAAAGGCCTCGCAATAAACTTCCAAAAAATCAGTCATTGAAAACCCTATGGAGCACAGTTCTACTCTGACATACATGGGATGGCCATGAGTTAGAAGCAACTAAACAGCAACGGCTTTGCCTCTATTAAGCCAGACATCAAAAAGATTTGTAAAACTATAAAATACCACCACTCCTTTCACTAAATTGTTTTTGAGAAAATAGTTATTTTTTCATAAAAAACATGCTATTTATATTAACATGTAATTGGTTTATTATTGCTAATTTTAAACAAACTCATAAATTTTCGTAAATTTCTAAGTTTTAGTTTCTAATACAGTAAATACTAATACGTATAACCCTCAAAAACAAAAGCTCTTTGGGGTCTTCAAATTTTTTTAGGAGTGTAAAACAGAAGCGAGACCAAAAAGTTTGAGAACTGACCTCATCTACCCTCAGACCAGAAGAACTAGATGGAGCCTGGCTACCACTACTGAGTATTCTGACCAGGAAGACAATAGACGAATCCTGATAGAATGGGAGCAATATGTGGAAGAGAACCCAAATTCTTAAGAAGTCCAAACTTACTAGACCAGTTGAGACTAGAGGATTCCCCAAGACTATCGCCCTGAGATACTCTTTAAACCAATACTATTCCGTGAGAACATCTTTTAGCTGGCTAAATAACAGATTAGCTCATAAAATAAACAACATCGCCCGTGAGTACTGTGCTCCTTTAAAAAAATCATCTATATGAGACCAAACGGTCAACATTTACTCTAAAGCAAAGACAAGAAGGTAAGGGGGCAGGGAAACTAGATTACTGGAAATGGAACAACCAGAATGGAAA